ACGTGCGCGCTACAATGCTGTTGCGTATGTATTAAATATGACTGATAATTTAAGTAAAATGTTTTATTTAATTCAAGTAGCCTCCTTGTACATAATTAGTTTCTAGGGTTTAAAATGTATACAGATTTGACATTTTCCCCTCATACTTCTGTCGGAATGGGTACGAAGTTGGCATTGAATTTCATTTGAAATGGTATTAAAAAGGTCTTAAAAAGCCTTGAATTTAAGTTGGAGGATCCTGGGGGTACCCTGCTGTATTGCTGCCTGGATCATAATCATACACTGTTCACTCGTTGGCCAGAGGAGAACTGGCCCCCGACTGAGCCTGGGTTCTCCCAAGGTTTGTTTCTCCATTCTGTCACCTGAGTTTTGGTTCCTTGCCACTGTTGCCTTGGCTTTTGGCTTGCTTAGTTGGGGACATTTAAAATTCAACTATATTATTATTATTGATCTGCCCTACTTAATGTGGACGATGATGCAATTTTCTTCTAGAAACAAGCTTTGTTGTATTATTTTCATGTTATCACTGTGAAGCTGCTTTGATACAATCTGTATTGTAAAAAGCGCTACATAAATAAAGGTAACTTGACTCTTCCTATAGTTGTAAAGCACTGCAATTGTTCTTGAGGGGCGGTAATTGAGGTTGAATCATAAGACCTATTTAATATTAAGGTCTGAATGGAACCCATTTAGGCTACCCATGAGCATTAATGCAGGAAGAAGTACTTTAGAAACCAGCCTTTATTAATTGTTATGGCAGAGATGGTGTTTGGGGCTGGGGCCGTGGGACTGTTTCTGGGGGATGAGTCTGAGGGAAGAACAGGAGACATGGATAAGGAGAATGCAGAAGACAAAAGGTAGGTGAAATAAAAAGTGTCTGGATCAAAAAAATCTAATTACGTACACAATGCACTCAATGCCCAAACCCCATCTCTGCAATAATAATTAATAAAGGCTGGTTTCTAAAGTACTTCTTCCTGTATTAATGTTCATGGGTAGCCTAAATGGGTTCCATTCAGACCTTAACATTAAGTCTTTTACTGTTATATGTCAACAAGATTCAAAAAAACATTTTCGCCTGCTATACCCAATGTTTAGATCTGTTTGGGTAATTATGCAAATTAGCTAATACGTAATTATATTATGCACCGTTTGTGTATGTTAACAAACAATTAAAAAAAACTTGTAATACATTTTTTGTTTGTCTTGATGTAAGTAATCAACTCAGTGATTTTCATGATGATATCTAAAGGTTAAAATTGTTACCCTTTTCACGTGAGAAAAAGAATGAATAGGCGTATGAATGGGATATATTTGGGTCTTTTTCTAAACTTTCCCCTAATGGGATTCTTCGGGGCTTTTTTTTTCTTACTCAGGACATATTGAGGATACAAAAACAGTTGAGTTTGCTTCTGTTGCAATTTGTTCAACCTTTTTTCATAAAATGACTGGACTATAGCCTACCTCTCATACCGGGAATTGAGAAAAATGCCTGTTTCGTGTGCTGCTTGGGGCTGTACAAATCGCCACACAATTTAAAACAGGTCTCGAGGAATTACCTTTCACAAACAAGACTGAACATTTGTTTCTGGTTGTAGTCATGATGTAATTAGTAATAGTAACGTTCAGAGGATGGCCGCAAAATTTAAAAATACTACTGTTATGTCACAAAATGTAGTTTTAATAGTTTTTCAGTCGACAATGTAGTTGTTTAAAGCTCAAATCTGTGGTTTATTTATAAAGATAGCGCCTATTTAAAAATTTGATCTGACGTTTTCGCAGAGGCGGACAGAGTACACAGCTTTGTTACTTGAGTAAAAGTACAGATACTCCTTGCTAAATTTTACTCAAGTACAAGTAACAGTACTACAGTCAGATGTCTACTTAAGTAAAAGTACTGAAGTACTTGTTTTTAAAAGTACTTGAGTATCAAGAGCACAAGAGTAAATTTTCTAAATATTGCATTACTACTGCCACAGTGTCAAGTCAAGTCATCTTCATTTATATAGCGCTTTTAACAATGTAGATTGTTTCAAAGCGGCTTTACAGAGATAAACATAATTTAAGGTAACAGAGATTGTTTTGGCTTTATAGCGATTCTTGAATAATGTTATTTTCCAGCTAAAGTTAGTTTTGATTGATTCACTTCCGTCGAAATGATCATTTGTTATTAAATTAGGGGCCGCTAAGACGACGCCGTTCTCTCTAAACAGACTTTAAACTGAACCTGTGATAAACGCTGACGGCGTTCACATGCGCATTAAGAACTGATTCTATAGTTATGTGTGTTCGAATATATGTGTGCAGGTTTGTAATTCCCTACAAACCATGCCTAAACAAACTACTTGTCTTTGCCTATAAATTTGATACAGAATTTTATTTTATCACTTCGGGGTAGGTGCGTGAACCGTGCTTACATTTATGTACAGAAACGTCCTACATGGAGTTAGGAAAAATGTTAATGTTAATACCTTTGATAATCTAAAAGGAATTGAAAGTTAATTCAAGTCATTTTCATCTTTTTATCATGTTGCTTTATTTAACATTTCTCACTTGCCCACAAGGCAATGCACAATGGCAACGCTCTGACAAACCTCTGCTAGAGTTTTAATGGATTTTTTGCCCCCACATTTGAACCTGTTTCGTCCATGGTTTCGTCTCTTATCTAAATCTGACCATGGAGTTTACTTTGGCGTCAGTTCAGAGCTGAAGGTGAAGGTGATTTGCTGATAGGCTGTCCCAATCAGTGGCGCCTACACAATCCAATCACGTTTGAGAGGGAAACAACAAATTGAGGGTTTCCGAGATTTTTCTTTTTTCCTTTTTTTTTTAATTTTTTTTTAGAAGTAACGGGTACTCCCGGTTATGGATAGAAATGTAGTGGAGTAAAGAGTACAATATTTGCCTCTCAAATGTACTTGAGTAAAGTCATGAGTAAGCCCCAAAAATGATACTCGAGTAAAGTACAGATCCCTCAAAATTGTACTCAAGTACTGTACTCAAGTAAATGTACTCCGTTACTGTCCGGCTCTGCGTTTTCGGAGAAGTGAGATTCAGGCGATCACCGGGCGCTCAGCGCTCATGTAACTTACCCCGCCGAGAACAGCCTTACCTCGGCTAGTGCTTCTGACGTTTGCCGCTGGCTCTGATGTCTCTAGTCTGGTTAAACATGAGATATAATTCGATCTTTGGTCTCATTAATCTATCATTTGTTCCCTGGCAAATCGTTTTGGCTGAGGGCAAAGTGAAGTTTCATAACTTAATATTTAGGCTATTTTAACGTTGTATCCTGCTGTATGTTTGTCTGAATCGTTTACTTTATATATTGTCTTGTATAACTTCTTATACCTTTTAGGCTACTTATACCGTTATAATGGCTATTACTGATCAATAAAACTGAAATTTAACAAAAATAGATAGGGTTGTGTCATTTTATTTTATATAGCCTGTATTTTATATAGCCTTTTCATTACTATTTTATTTGCTGTATACTCTTTATTTATTTTATTGACTAAACTATTTACTATTACTTCTCACTTTATCTTATATTTACTATTTGCATTGCACCGTAGTTGTACCATATCGTATTACCATAGATAAAGGATCTATCAGTTATATTTGCTATTGCTAAAATCGGGGTCAATCACAGAAAACGCTTTTTCCACAATACGCTGATTTCACGCAGCCGCCATTTTGAAATCGAAAGCGAGGCTCCGGTGGGAAGAACCCCGGAAGTACAGATAAACAACAATGCCTTGGACTACCAACCTGAATCTGCTGCCGCGATTTACACTTCTTGCTTCTTGTTTTACGTTCTGAATTATATAGCTATAAAAAAATAATTTTATTTATAAATGAATTTCACTGTATAGTCTAAAGTATGAAAGAAATGTATGTACATTTTTAGAATAACTAATTTCTACATTAAACACAACAATATGCCATCGCATTCGCGACTCTCCTATGATTAAAGGCGACACTTCCGGTTTTCTACCCACCAGAGCCATTTCAAAATGGCGGCTGCGTGCAATCAGCGTATTGCCGCCCTATTGGCTGCCTATTTATTATGTCTATGCTTTCGCGCTGTGCACTTTCTTTTCTATCGAGGCATCGACAACACAGCTGACACAGGTAAATACATGTGCTAGAAGAGTTAAGTCCGCCTTAACATTGGTCCCGCTTTGGATGCCACGATGCCATCAAGCGGTGTCTCTGGTCGTAATCAGTCCTTCACTGACCAATCAGCATCCATTAGCAGAATGCTAGCATGTTATGGGCAACAACAACTCAACCTGTAAGAAATCGAAAGGACATAAGTACTCGTTCATTCAACTTTCAACCTATAACCCATGTTGAACTTGTAAAACCTATCAAATCTGAGATTTCTCAACGGCAATCGGGTGAAAGAGACAAATTTAGCCGTCTAGTTCCATAGACTCCCATTCATTTTGCACTCGAACGATCGCCCGATCACAGTGGAACGATCACAGTGGAACTCTGGTGGAACCAAAATTCGGTACAATAGGACTTAATAGGGAGTGGCCAGGCTTTCTGTAGATGGGCTTTGGTTTGGCTGACAAAAACAGTTTGGCAATCCCCCTTACAATGTTGAAGATCAGAAATTGTGCAACATGCCTTTGTTTATCATTGTAAAATGAGGAAAAACACCTCTTGTGTTTTGCTTAACATATTTTGATGAGTTAAAGTTTTTTTTTACAGTGCACACCACTATGGATCATTAAAGGGTTAGTTCACCCAAAAAGGAAAATTATCCCATAACGTACTCACCCTGTATATAACTTTCTTCTTTCATCCAAACACAATCGGGGTTATTTAAAAAAATATCCTGGCTCTTCCAAGCTTTATAATGGGAGTGAATAGTAACAGATTTTGAAGCCCAAAAAAGACCACCCACTGGAACCAAATATCTCAGGAACCGAATATATTGTAACACCGGCAATCCGCATACGTCACTGGAGTCTCAGCCAATTAGAGCGCGGTAAGGTTTTAAACCGCTGTTGCTGTTCTATTTTTATTTCAAACATCATCTTGTATAATTATTTTGATCACCTGAAGCTGTTTAGTCAGTGCCGATGTGCTGTGTATTAACATCTTCTTGCCTTTAAGCGTAAAATCTCCTCAATGGGATCCGATGAGAAGGGTGAGTTTGTGCTGCTGCCTGGTGATAACCATTTGTTTGCGTTAGCCGCATGCTAGCTGGTTTGAAATGCCACATTATTTGTTATGTCTGTGTAATTTAATGATTAAAATCATCTTTAAATAAAAACATTTTCAAAAGGTGGTTTGTAAACTGTAGCAGCTAACGTTAATGTAACGTTAGTAGACCCTTGTGTTGGTGATGATAACTCATATCAGCCTGTCAAACTACAGGACATATGTTAGTTAAAATATGGGATATTTTTTATACTTGTACTAGTCGAATAGATGTTACATTTAAATAGTGTCGGACAGTATAATCAGAGCTTCATTTAGACAAGTTTAGTAGGCTGTTTAGACAAGCCTACTCATTGTGACTAACGTTACATATGTATGGATACTAGTATGTATGATGTATTTTAACATGTTTTTATGCTAGTTTTTAATATAGCTAGTTTTTAGTTTGTTCTTATGTAGCTACCATTTTGTAAGGCGACCTTGAGTGTCCAGAAAGGCGCCAAATAAATAAATAAATAAAATGCATTTAACTGACGAGGATAGACGGCGCGCGGTAGAGCGCCAAACATAGTCCTTTATGTGTGTGTTCATAATAAGTTATAATATCTCTCTGTCTTTGTCTCTGTATTGATGCAGCAAACTCCTTCCTCTTGACAAAATTTACAAGATTTAAAAAAATAATAAGTCAACTATATTATGCTGTATGCTTGGTTAAAACCATGTTTAGAATAAGTGTTGATAAAACACTATGTTTGAAATGTTTTATGTATGTTACTGTTTTTGTATAGATTGGGTGGACGTGGCAAACAACGTTTTGTTGAAATGTCACATTAATCTGAGGCTGGAACGGATCTCGGAGTGTGATGCAAATGTGTTTGTGGCTTTGTATGAGGCGATCTTGGGAGAGAAAGTTCCAGGTATTCTCGTTGCTTCATCCCTATGCAAACCATTTCTGGCAGGTTTTGCGATTGCCCTCCAGCAATAATGCTGCATTCACGTGTCATCGGAAATGTCCTACTTTCCACTTCCGAATTCGTGATTACGATCTCATCGCCTTCAAATTTGGACTTGAGAGGATGTTAAAAAAAAAAAATTTGAGAAACTGGATCTACTATAATTCCGATAGCACGTGAAGGCAGCATAATAAGTCTGACACTCTCTTCTCTCCTGTCATGAAGTTATATTATACAGTGTGGGCATAAAAAGTCTACACACACCTGTTAAAATTAACTTTCTGAGAGGTAAAAAATGAATCTATGTAAAATCATGTCATATTTTTCCACATATAAAAAGAAGAAAAAAAGAAAAATCTACAATTATCTTGTTACATAAATGTGCACACCCTTTCATAATGGGGCATGGTACTTTGTTTGTAATTAACACATCACATTAAAACTCTTACTAAAAAAGATAGTTATTGATATCCTCTTGTCATTTAAGTGTTGCTGATTAACCCTGAATAAAAATCGGGGGCTGTATTCACAAAACATCTTAAAGGTACAAGATTTTTTTTTTTTTTTTTTTTTTAAATATCCAAAAACCACTTGCACAGTGTTTGGCTATTTATTTCGTTCAATTGTGTACTTACATTATCCTACATGTTTTCAAGAATTTGTAAATTCAGAGAAATTCACAATTTTAAATAGTGCCTGTCAATGACGTAGTCTCTACATTATCCCTGGTTTTCGCTTGTACTGCAATAGTAACAGACGTGGACAACTGCGTATGTTCTAGCGGTACGTTGTTGTTTCGTTCAAAACATGGACCATGGGAAGCAGACTTAGGGACGAAAGGGGAAATAAAACGACGATCAATATCGGCGTGGCGTTTTCGAGATGCAGAGAGCTTTGCGACCAACCTTGACTTGACTGAGACGCCGCTCTTGCATGTGCTTTATTAGACAGGTGAGCAAATGTACATAAAAACAAATTAATGTTATATAGCTCAACATGATGAAGTATTAGAATATGATCAGTATGATATACTAATGTTGATCGATCTAGCTTACTGCTAGTCTCATACAGCCAACAAACTAACACATAGAATAACAATATAACTTTCAACACACTCAAATGCAGTTTAGTATGCTAGTGTAGACCAGGGATAGGCAACTCTGGTCCTGGAGGGCCACTGTCTTGCAAAGTTTAGCTTCAGCCCTGATAAAAACGGACCTGCCTGTATCTATCTAGTAATCCTGAAAACGTTGATTGCCTTGTTAAGGTGTGTTTAATTAAAGCTCCAGTCCGTAACTTTTTTTGGGTTAAAAATTATCCAAAATAATTTTTTGAGAAAATACATAACTATCCAGTGTTCAACACTATCTGCTTGCCTTAGCTCGATTCAAAACGGTAAGCTTGTAATAATGTTTTTAGTTCCAGTGGTACTGGTGGATTTTCACGGGAAATTCGAGCATGTCTTTGCGTCATTACGTCACATCTGTACATAATGAAGGAAATTTATTAATTTGATGGTGGATCCAGAAAGGTTCAAACGACAATCACCAGTGACAACTGGAGATTCACCCGTTGTAAAATGCAAAAGACTTTGGACTGAGAGTTTGGAAAAAGAGACTGCAACCGGGCATGCGAAAACAAGGATAAATATATATAAATATAGCTGCGAGCAGCGATTACGGGCCCAAGCCAGTTGCACCGCAACCCCGGTGCCTTTAGTTACCTAAGGCACCGGGGTGGCGGTACCGCCGGCTTTGGCCCTTCATTGCTGCTCGCAGCTATATTTATAATATATATATATATATATATATATATATATATATATATATAGATTAGGGCTGGGCGATATGGCTGAAAACTGTATCACGATATCAGTGTTTCATATCGGTCGATATCGATAATTATTGATTTTTTTTATGACCCATTTAAAATAAGGACCAGGAGAAAAAATATATATTACATTTAAACATTTTTATTTTAAACTTAACCTTCCTCTGATTACAATCCCAAGACAGAAATGTCAACACAACCATGGAAAACTCAAACAATTAAAATGTAAACATAAGTCTAAATTCACAATCAGACCTGCAAACTCCTCAGAGTAAAAAAGGTGGCAGTGGCGCGGCGGGACGTGGGTGAGGGGGGTTTGTGATCGTATGTGCCCCCTGCTTGATTTTTTTTTTTTTGAGACATCACGGTTCGGTACGATTTCGGTACAATGGAGTGAAAAGCAAAACAGAAATATAGAAGGCATTTTTATAAATGTCTTAAGCCTTGTATTTTTTAAATAAGTTTTATTAATAAAGGCATAGAACCAGTTTATTTATAGTGCACTGATAATAGTTTTATATAATTGGTTTATTAATTAAACTAATAAAAAGATAGATATGAGATATGTTTGGTAATTGTACCTGAATGAATTTAAAATTAATTTGCTATATTTCAGATCAATATATTTGTTTTCCTTAATTTTAATTAACCCTAACTTTATTCTCAGCAGAATTATAAATAATTGATTTCCGTATAAAATAATCTACCAACACATTTCACTTTCTTTTTTAATCAACGTGTAACTTAAAAATAAACAGATTAGTGCTCTGTTTTGAGGACAAGAAATGAAAACCAATGCGATATGATGAATGTCCAAAAGATGGAACACACAGACTGTTTTACAAAGGGGTTGGATAAATATGTTTTGCTTTTAAAACGGTGTGTGACAGTTGTAGGTTACAGTTTGACAAGAAATACAGTGTGACAAAAGCACAATGTTGTGTTTTATTGCGAGTATAGGCCTACACAAATATAAGTAAACACTTTGCAGACTGAATGACGGAGTATGTTTTTATGTCTCCACTGTTCGATCGCGCCCGCGTGTCTCTCTCTCTCGCGCCCGTGCCTACTCTCTCTCTCTCTCGCCACACACACACAGACACTCCAGCATTGCAATCTTGACATCGCAGCCTGTTCATTATGCTGTGTTCACATCAAACGCGAATAGAGCGAATTATCCAATAATGTTTCGCAATTCTAGCCTGCATGGCATGCAGATGAAGGGCACTCATTTTCTGCTTATCAATCGCCGGTTACTGAAGAAGAACCCAGCAGCACGAGACAACGATGGCGCAACCAAACAGACACGTTACATGATTGCCTGAGCGTGTCACTCCCTACGTTGCTAGGTTACCAGAGAGCGAGTGCCTTTGATAATGCAACCAAACTTGCTTCGCAACCTGTGGTTTCTTCCGACGAAGAAAAAAAATATCGAACGTTTTATCGAACACATTTTTTATTGATATCGATCACGTGTCTATCGCGATACATATCGTTATCGTTTTATCGCCCAGCCCTAATATATATATATAAACAACCCGGTGGCACCGCCACCCCGGTGCCTTTAGGGTTACTGTGCATGACAGGCAATAACGTAACCCCGTTTTGACTGTTGAGAAGATGTGTGCTGTAGAGCTTGCATTGGTGTGAGCTCTGCAAAAGTGTGCATTGAGGGCACATATCAACCACAAAGTATGCGTGAGCAACCTTCTGAAACCTAAAATGAAAAATGAGACACCCTACGGCAGGGGTCGGCAAGTAAGGTTGGCATCGCCAAAAAATATTTTTGACACTAGATGGCGGGCCAGAACATAGTCAGTGGATAATTTAAGAAATTAATTGATGAAAAATGCAACTAGAATTGCCTGTGACAGACTTTTACAGTGTCTTTTGTAACTGGTAGTGAGCTGTTACTCTGTGTTAAATCCTGTAGTAGGACAGTCATTAACAAAAAGCCACATTTGTGTGGGGTTTTACGGGTTTTACACTGGATATACATTAGAAAAGCAGTAGGGATGAGTCACGATTTTCGAATATTCGATTTGTTGATTTAATTATAGAATATCGAATAGGTCGTGCGATTATTGTCTAAAAAAATCCCGATGTTTTCGGTGCTGATTCGGTGGTGACGCCGTGTTCATGTAACCAGAGGGTGACGCTGCCAATAACGCAAAAGCTGTCACAAGGAACCGGCAAAAGTAATGATTATGAATGTTTCAAATAATAGCAAGGAGACATTTTAATTGTTTATTAGTGTCTGTGTCGGCTGCAATAGTGACCGCAGTAGTTAACGCACCTATAGAGAGAAATGCACATTTCATATGGATTACATAAGCAGAGAGTAGTCGGTTTCTTTTCGTTTTGAATTGTTTCATTTAAAATTAGACATTTTTAAGCTTTCTATATATTTCTCGTGTCTGTGAGGCAGCGTAAACGCTGAGTTTCGGTTCATTTATGAGAAGAGCTCCAGTTCACGAGCAATGCAATCTCGCCGGCGCCTCCATGTCCTGATTATATTGTCTGCTATATTTGCTTCTTATTGATTTAATCCAGGCAATTGGTTGATAAAACATTGATTAAAAATAAGATACAAATGATAGCCTTTCTAAAAATTGAATTTCGTTTTCTTTCTACAAAACAAAACTTAATGAAGTTGTCAGAATCATGTCTGACACACATGTCTCCCGATATATTGCAGCATCTTGCAACACATCCCGCCTTGCTAAAACACACGGGAGATGCGGAATGGATAAAAATAACTAAAAAAATAAAAGAGGACTTGAATAAGCCCATTAATGGCATTTTTGAGTCATGCTCTTAACCTGTGAAGCTTCACCAGAGCGTGGGCGCTCTGAAGCGTTTTTTTTTTTTTAAATAGTTCAAAGTTACTATCATATTTAATGTTATTAACTTGACAAACAATACATAATTAAAAAGATATAAGACTCAAGTTTCAGTATTTGACCACTATTGTATTCTGAGAAACTTATAGTGACAGTTATGTCTTAATTTGTGTCAGGAGTTATGAAATTAAAAAACGAGTCGTTACCTTTAATGTGAATTATGAGCGTCAGCTGCTCTCATTCAGAAAAAAACTCCCGTGCGATCGTCATGACAGCGCTTGACAAAACAAC